ACCAGCCTCATTTCTGGTGGTGTCAGGTCGAATGTTGAAGTGGGCTTCATGCTTCTGTCCTGGTGCAGCACGTCCGCGACCCACAGACTTTAAGTAGAGATCAACAAGATAACTTGGGGTACGACATTTCTTTGTAGTATGGCTATAACAACCACACTTCTGACACACAGGTTTGTCATTTCTGTGTTTGAAAATGTTCTTACCATTGTTGGAAACACGAGTTTGGGATTTCTTATTGCATCTGCGTTATTTTTTACCTTTCTTGGAATTTCCCTGAGGATGGGTCTTAGAAAGTCCACCATTAAATTTAGGTTTATTCTGAGTGTAAGCATGTACTTCAGGCAATGGAGCAGACCCTACGGGGCGCTGCTGATTATTCAAAATCATAAGTTCAGAATGTTTTTCGACCTCAAGTAAAGTTTGTATAAGCTCAGAATAAACCTGGAAACGCCTTTCACGGTATTGTTGTTGAAGAATCCTTTCAGAGGGAAGCATAGTTGACAGAGTCTTTTCTATTTTATCCGCATCTGTAGGTTCTTTCTCGCAGAATTGCAAGTTTGAGCAAATCCTATGAACGGCATGGTTGTAATCACTCACAGTTTTAAAATCCTGTAAGCGAAGTTGCGTCCACTCATAGTTGGCCGCAGGCAGGACAAGTGCCTTTTGTTGTTCATAGCGTTCCTTAAGAGAATTCCATAGATTTCGTGGGTTCTCTTCCAACAAGTATTCAGCCTTAAGGTCAGGATGAATATGGCTCCTAATGAGATATAGGGCGTGTATACATGTTGATCTTCAAGTGGTGCAACACCCTCTTCGGGTGGTAACATAGCTCGATAAAGTCCACGGGACGCAAGACTAACCTTTACGTCCACAACCCATGTGGGATAATTGTGGCCGTCTAGAGCAAGCAAATCAAACTCTTTGATGGTCATTGATCCTACGCGAGGCAAACCATCAAAACATTTTAAGTTATTAAAATGTTGTGGTGTGTTGTAATTATGAGATGTAAGATAGATACAAGATAAATCTTGTATTATTAATGGTGTAAAGATCTCATGTGCATAATAAAATAATGGAGGTAGTCACCATAAAAGTGTAGACCTCAAATTGGGCATAGTCTATATTAACAGTAGATGCCAAGTAATTATGCAAGTTGTATAAACATGTCTTAAGGTAGTCATCAAGAATGATGTACACCTTAGTCAATTCACAAATAAATTGGGTACGCACGTTGAGGATAGCCACTAAGTTGTGGACTTAGTGTAGATCCCACAGTAGCAACTATTGTGCTACCTGTATGGCCAATAGGAATATGAATTAATAGTAGTCATCTTTGTGAAAAGATGTAGACCAAATGTTCTCATTTGTGATGTTGGATATGCACGTTGAAGATAGTCACTGAGTGTTTACTTAGTGTAGATCCCGCAGTAGCAACAATGGTGCTACCTTGTGTATGACCAACAAACAAATAGGGAACATGCGCGTTATACAATTAATGAGAAAATATACATAAAATGTCGCATTCATTATTTAAGCGCGTCGTCCTTTAAAGTCAAAAAGCATAAAAGGAGCTTAAATAAAAATGATCGATCGCAAAAATGATTAATGAATAAATAATTTGCAAGATCATGGTCGTAATAACAAGGATATTATTTATTGGATTTGCTATACATACAGGGACAAATACTTTGAATAATATCATAAATGGATATTTTACAATGATAAAATATCACAAGTACAACTATAGTTAAAGTCAGCGACTAAACATAAGAGTACTTAATTTTACAGCACATAATTATAAAAGACTAACATAGTCATTGATGAATTAATACTGAAATTAAATAAATAAAACAGAAGGAGTCAGTCGGGCCAAAAGAATCAGGAACAATCCATTTTCGTTTGGGCCCAGCCTAGCCTAGTTGGGAGCACAGTAGACAGCATGGAGGGAGGGCAGGGTGCAGGCCATTGGGCCGGCCCATTTGCGCGCGCGCAGCCCATAAAAGGGGGGGGATCGGGTGGCAGTTAGGGTTGAAACCCTAACCGCTCGCGCGCCGCTGCCAATTTCGGATGCCACCGCCCCGCCGCAAAACCATGTTGAGCACCTCCGCCGACGGGAGGCCAAGCACGGCCGGGTTCCAAGTCCCCCGGCAGATCCCCGGGCGCCTGTCCACGGCGGCCACTCTGTGGCCGAGGAGGCGTCGAATCGTGGGGGGCGTGGTGGCGCTGCCCTCAGCAGAAGTTGGAGGAGCCGTCGGAAGAGCCTGCTCCTTCATGCGCGTCGTAGCCTCCAAGCGGGTCGCGGGCGGAGGAGCCGTTGGAGGAGGAGCCAAGGGGCCAGCCGCGTCGAAGAAGCTGTACAGCGGGACGCCGGTCCTGGCCAGCGCGCGTGCCGCCGGGGTTGAAGAGGTTGCCGACGCTAGGGGCAGCCACCATGTCCTCGTCCTCGGTCTTCACTTGCTGGAGCATCGGCGCGGAGACGGTTTTGAAGATCCAAGGATTGAGGACGCCGTTGGGCATGCCACTGTCAGCCGCCACTTGGGTCGGATCGACCGGTGTGGGCAATGGCAGCGTGTAGTTGTACTCCAGCGTGTGTGGCATCAACGTGTACTCCTTGCAGAAGTCACACCAGTAGCGAGGCGGTGCCGGTGCTGGCGACATCGGCTCCATGGGTATGTACGTGGGGACAAAAAACGGGCTCGGCAACCACTTCATCAACGGATGGCGCCGGGGCTTCAACGACGGGTGGCGCCGGGGGTTCCTAGACTGGTGGCGCCGGGGCTTCCTGGACTGGTGGCGCAACGTTGCTGGGGTCGGCACCGTCCAAGCCAAGGCGAGGAGATGGTGGCTGGCTCTGCAGACGAAGATCGCGCGGAGGAGAAGCATGGCGGCCACGAACAGGAATCCATCGGCGGCGAGGAACTGCATTGGAACGGAAGCCACGAACAGCGGAGTCGAAGAGACGACCAAAAGGACCATGGGCACTGTTGCGGCGAACACGAGGCCCAAGGCGCTCGAAGACGCTGCGGCGTTGTCCATGGTGGCCGTGGTGGTAGATCGGGCCATGGCGAACTCCACCGACGCGGCGTAGGGCGAAGAACAGTTGACGAACAACATGTGACGGTAAGTCAATTCTCGCCATGCTTACCGATGGGGGTTCAGAGGCATGTGCCTCTGTCGTCGTCGTTCTCTTCCTCTTGTCCAGTAGAGCAAAAGTACTGATAACGTGTTGAAAGTAAATGGAATGATTTATGAGAACAACTATCACTGTTTTCATTGATCTCGTGAGATTATATACAGATGAAGGGTTGTGTCGTACGGACGCAACCTTTGCCTAGACGACATGTCCCTTTGATGACGGTGTTAACTGCTAACTGTCCGTAGATGAGATCACCAGTAGAGAGGTGTGGTGGTGTGCAGGTGCCTGCTCGTCCGGAGCCACCTGCTCGTCCGGAGACACTGTTTCGCAACAACCACGCTGCAAAGTTATTCTCAGATGACGATGGAGGCTGCCTTTCGTGTTTGCTTTGCTGCTTCCATGTGGTCATAGAATTGATTCCGAAGCCGTGCCACCGCACCTGGACGAGAGGAGAGGAAAACATATTCCACTTTACCTGTGGTCTGTGGACTATGGAGTAATGGGATTATGGGACTATTTTGATTTTGGAGCACTCCCGTCTCCCCGGACGTTTCAAAGGGTGCTCTGCTGCATCTTGAACGGCAAGAGCACCCACCAGCCGCTTGGTCGCTTGGGCTTTTGCCTTAGCTGAGATGACGGACAGGGTCAAAACTCCAAAGGCCCTTCAGAATTGTTCCGAAGAACACGCCTCACCGCGAGCAAACCGCCGAGATCTGCTTGCTGCCATTTTCTCTGGATTAACGTTTTCTTCTTATCCGACAGCAGCGTACTGTGCCTATGCTGGCATGATTCCTTGGTACAGTAGGAGTATATTTATTCGATATGAGAAAATAAAAAAATTGATGAATTATTTTATTTACTCAATTATGAATCCTACCTTCCAAACATCCCACATAGGATGTAGCTTGTCTGGTCTCAGATCTATAAGCACATGGAGACATCAGACGACATCTAGTACGACCACATCACAGATCTGCATACCTTATTAACTTTGGATGGGGTACCGTCAAAACCTCTCGCTTTTCATTATATATACAAATATACTAATATTTATGTGTAATAAGTATTATTAAACTAGTAATGAAATATATTTTACATTAAACATGTTTGTAGATAAATAAATAAAAGTTGCGTTTGAAAAGCAAGACGTCCATACTTTTAGGATGGAGGGAGGACGGAGGGAGTATTTTTTTTGCTTCAGCAAGATCTGCAAAAATTGCTGAAAACCGCTGGGGCTGGCCTGAGCTTGCAACTTGAAAGTCTTTGATATAGGGTGTCGGTACCACGGACGGGTCAGCAGTCGGCACAAGTTCTGCATGATAAAGCATCATTTGCTGCATAACCCAACACCCAAATAGACATGCCTAAGGTAGTATTAATACATCTATATTATTTCAGCCCTCGCCCAAAAGGGCACTATTTGAACACAATCTCAAGGTTTACATTTACAATACACGGAAGTACAAATGAATGAATGTCGTGGAGCACTGCATAGTCTAGGGTTCTATGTGACCTGATGAATGATGATACGTGCAGGGAAACACTGCCCTCTCATCGCTCACTGCTTGCAGCAGCAGGAGACCACGGTATTATAGGAGGGACCATATCCATATATCTGTAGTGATACAATTGTACCTCTGCAACTTCGATTTAGTGGCTACTGTACAGTTCACGGTACTAGTTTCTTCGTCAATATTTTGGACCATATTTGATCTCAAAGATATTCCTGTGCAGTAAGGTATCTGCAATCAACTGATTGAAATTAGATCAAGTAACATTATCTAGCAAGAAATTGCAGTTACATCTGACAGGCGGGAATGCGAGCACAAATTGCAGATTGTTGCGGTAGCAGGGTGTGACATACTTAGAAGAGCAAGCTCAGATAGAAAATAATCCATCCTGCCATGGAGAACACAGCAAAAATGTGAACCCAGAACAAAATTGCAGCTGATTCTTTTCCACACCCTCTCAGATTTGCAACAGCACCTGCAATAAAAATCCTAACGTCAGATTCCATAATGTGGTTTCCTAACATGGCGAACATGCAAGGCACCATCCAATGCCTTACAGATCTCAACTAACACACAAAATCGTTAAGAATCTGTACACATGAGCACATGAAGACAAGTGATAGCTGATAAGATACATCCCTTTTTGGTTTCACATACCTGACAGCACTGATGTGGGCATAGAATGCTGCAGTAGCAGGACAAACTTGAACATTTTATCATCTTTGGGAATGAAACCAAGTTTATCAACTAATATGATAATGCCAACCCCAGCAAGAGGGACCAAGATCAACCGTGCAAAAATTATAGCAACGGTGGTACGGACACCAAGCCTCTTACTTCCTTCACCAGGGCCTGATTCCATAAATAAACATGGATAAAGACAAAAACATGAGAAATACCTCTAAACCAAGTAAGAGTTATTCTAAGGGTGACCGCACCCCATGCAATTTCTCCAAAGTTTTAACTAAAATAGTTACTTACCATCGACAAGATTGCCCCCAACAGCAAGTAAAATGCATGGGATCATAGCTTCTCTGAAAAGTATGCCACAGAATTAGGTGATAGATGATAGATACATTCATCTCAGTTTGATAACTTTATTGGCAAGAGAACAAAACAAGAAATGAAACATGTAGATACCCAAGAATGAGGCAGCTGTCTGTGAAAAAGAACAGAGGGGCATCATCTGTAAGGACAAAATTCTTCAAGAATGGGATAACACCGATTACAATTGCGAATGCCTGTGTTAAACAATGGTCAAGGGAAAAAAGTTGTAAAATTAGTATATAAATAATTGCTAGTAGAATTTGGTTTAAAAATTGCTAGTAGAACACTACAGCAGCAATACATACAGATGCAATAATCGGTGGCTGGAGAAGCTGCTTGTCTTTCAGGAACTTAACCACACATTTAACATAGCCCATTATCTGCATTAATATAACAAAATCATTTAGTTTTGCAATGGGAAGTAAGCGCACCAAACTGATATTTGAAATCAGCTCCACTATTAGAATTTCTTACCTTTGTTCCTACAGAAGTGGCACGTTCATTTTGGACTTCCCCAGCAGATAACAACGGTTCATTCTCTGGTACAGTATTAGTGTGAGTGTTCATAGGATAATTTCCTATTTGGGGCACTGTATTCTCTCCAGATGCCTTGATTGGGAGTTCATCCTCTTCAGAACCATCAAAGGTCTGTCCTGGTGGTGGAGCAAGCATCTTGAATACATATGTGTAAACAATAATTGCACCAACCTGCAACATATCGAGGACTCACTGAGTGAATAACCTCAACAGCTAATTGTATGCATGGTCTAGATGATAATCGGATACCTTTAAACAACAAGGTCGCTATGCTGACTTGAGTAAAAATGAGCATGTACACGCTGAGAAAAGAGAAGAGTATGGCGTACCCATTGGCCAAATGAGATATACGCATTCCCATCTTGATTGCATTTATCAGAGTCACCAAATGGGTTAGAAGGATCCCGACATAACGCTGCAATGAGGACCAGAGGAATATTTCCAATATTTCCTGCAAAAGAAAAGGACCGCATTTGTATTGGATAACGAATGATAAATAGAAAATAAAACTAATTTTCAAAACACAAAAGTGGTACCTATTCCTATATGGATAATAGTGAACTTGAAGTATGGATATGGAGGTCGGATGATAGATGCCACAACAAATCCAATCAAAGAGCCGGCTACTGCGCCTACAACAATATTTACTGGAATATACCACCTGCAAATATGCAAGTATAGATGATATAAAAAAACAAAAGTAAAAGCAGAACAGAAGTTCAGAACAGTTATTTGACAAAGGAAAATTTCGAGGACACATACTCCTAAAGATGCTTATGCATAAAAGTGGACACTTGTTATACATATACACACAAGAAGGGGAAAGGAATCCATGAATATGTCAAAATGTAGGACAGAATAGTGAATAGTCCATTACATAAATATCTATCATTTTCTACAAGATATATATTGCCAGTAAGGAAAAAAAAATAGATTACTTATATGGAAACAAACTACTTGGAATAGTTTCTCCAATCTTTACTGCAGTATTTCAGTATGTTAGAAATAAAATAGCACTACTAAATTAATCCTGGAATGTGGAGTCAATCCATATGATCCATAAATTCAACTGGAACCAAATTAATGCTTGAGCGCTGATTTCCTTCACCTTCAGTTGGTCTTTTCTTTGTCGTTTTGTAGAAAGCTAGAGCTTCCAAAGCTAAATTGTTCCATATGGAACTTAATTACTTAAAGATTGACCCAACCAGAAAGATCAACAATAGCACACCATTTGATTGTCATTTTCAGTAATCTAATATTTGCAGGATGTATTGCTTATAGAGGGCCAGCGGCATATACAAATATAGAGATGATTAGCTGAAAACAACATCTCGGTCAATAGCTCACACATCAGAAATCAAGAGCCCTATAGCACACCTGGACGAAGCATGACACTAGGTTTATAATAACAAAAACTGAAGTACGATAACAATCGAAATTATCCTTACCATTGTATCATCTTCTCGATAGTGATTGCTCTACCCAATTGGGAAAATATAAGGCATGGAAGCAGAAGGGAAAACACAAGCTGCAGCAAACAGTGAAAATGTTATATCTATAATTTGATAAAGCGAGAAAACATATGAGCACAATGAGATCCCCAACTACTCCACATATTCCTACTTTGAACAAATCCAGCTACACTTGTCCATTACGCAACCTTCCATTAGCTAGCTTTGATTACAAGAGAAGAGACAAAGCTCACCCCATTGAGAAGCTTGCGGCCGTTGGGCTGGAGAATGTTGACGTACTTGGAGGCCATGAGGAACCCCATGAAGCAGACAGTGAACACCTTGGCGATGGGCAGTACGGCATACTTGAGCATGCTCAGCACCGACGTCCCCTCGGTTCCGCCTTGCGCCGCCGTGGCCAGCACCTCCAGCTGCGACCTCTCCATCATGGCTTGACCCAGACCTGACTACTGAAGCCTTCTTTTCCTTGCCTCAGGATCCAGTGACCCGCGCAACCAGGACTCTGCCATTATTTAAGCATGACTTAGAAGGCAAAACATAGAGGCAACATCAGGAAAACTCTGGAACTGCTTTTGGCGCTGGTTGTTCAGGGCCACCCAGCTGGAAGAGAGCTCGTCGTTCGTTCGCGCAGAGGGCGTCGAGAGGAACGCGCAGAGCCCAACTCACCGGATTCGCGTAACACAATACGGCAGGCAGCTTCCCCCGAAGCGGGAAGCTTAGCAATAACAAACTTCTTGTTCGACGAAAACAGACGCATCGACAAACCAATCAATTCGGGAAGAGAAATTATGACTAACTAGATTCCAAACGACCACTCCTAATACTAGAAAAAGATGACGACACCGAGACCCCCGAGCACTCCAGATGACGACACCGAGACCCCCGAGCACTCCATTGCTCCTGGGTTCGAAATTCGCATGGTCGGAGGATCCAATTCCCCCAGCTGCCGAGCTGCGTAGGGCGTAGGCATCCTGCGGCCGATTCGATTCGTCACGCACACGGCACGTCCATATCAACAGCAGCTTCAAAACCGATTACCATATACGCGCTAAACCACTCCGCGGAAGCTTAGGAAGCAACCGAGCTCAGAATCCCGACGCCACAGATCACCATCTACATCCAAAAAATAAAACAGAGCAAACAAACAAGCAGTCGCGAATCGCTCAATGCGAGCGAGAGCGATCGCGGACGACGCCACGCCACGCCACCCGCGAATCCAGAACCCCGCCAGCAGCCCCAAACCAAGCGAGAGGCGGACTGGCCCGAGAAGCGAAGAACTCAACTCACCGCGAGGCCGCCGAGTCGAGGTGTCACCCGGTGCGCGCGCGGGGTGAGATTGAAGGGAGCCGAGGCCCGAGCTCTCCGCGTGGAGAGATCCTCCGACTAGCCAGTGATGAACCCCTCCCGTGACGGCCCGAACGACCAGCCGCGATTAAGGCGGATGGAGGCTTTGATCCGAGGTCAGGCGGGGAGGGGGGCCTCCCAATCCCAAGAGTGGCGGGCTGTGATTCGCGCGGAGCGGGGTGGGGTGGGAATATGGGATCTGGGCGCTCGGTGGAAACGACGAGACGAGTCGCGGTTCGCGAGACGACGCCGGGTCGGTTGGACTCTAGTAGACAATACACGCGCGTTTTATATCCGTTTTGAAATCCGTAGGCCGTAGCCGAGGGGTGAGGCAGGGGCACGAGGAATTTGACTTGGAGCGTGCCGCTGCCGCGCTGCGCTCGTCCCGGGCCGTACGCCCAGCCGCGCTGCTCCTCCGTGCTGGCGTGCTGCCTGTGGACTGTGGTGGATTGGATGGCAGCCGGGCCCCGCCGGTCAGCTTGCCATGTGGCGGATTCATTTCACTTGCTAGGTTTATTTCCCTTTTTCTCTCCTTGTTTTATTTTTTGTTTATTTATTTATTATTTATTAGACGATTACCCCCTTGCTTTTCGTAGCTAATTTTCCTTTTCTTTAGACCACGTCAGAAGCATCGGCTGTGGTGTTGAAAAGTATGCAAAGTCGCTGATGCAACCTAAAGATGGAAGGGATGGTTGGGAACTGTTTGGATCACGGCAACCTTTAGTCGTCGTCATATATTTAATTTTTTTAATTTATACAAAATATTTTTTTCTACACGAGGCATATTACGGTTTGATAGAAGTCCTTGAAAGGAAGCTGAGGTCATTAAATTGTCTTAGAATATGTCATCAATAGTTGGGAAATCAATAACATATTAAAAGATTTTTACATTCAGCATGTTAGCTCAGCGTATGGTGGAACTGACCTACACATGTTTAAATCCGATTTGACATGATCGTATTTATCTAAATTTATTTTATGATTTAATGATGTTATTTTTTTAATGATAAGTGACACATGTTTAAATCCGATTTGACATGATCGTATTTATCTAAATTTATTTTAGGATTTAATGATGTTATTTTTTTAATGATAAGTGACATGTCGACACGTGATGATTTGTTAATCTCAAAATTTCGTTTTTGCAGGCTTGAAACAACAAGCTCAGGATGGCTAAAAAAAAACTCCCTCAAAGCTTCATTCCTGTTTACATCAAACCTCAAAGTGCAAATTTTTAGAGTTTCCCATCGAGATGTGATTTGTCCGGACCTTGTACCTTTATGGTAGGTCATGACAAAGATGTGGGCAGTTAAAGTGAAGCGGTTGTCTCGAGACAGCGAGAGTCAGCAAAGTATTCTATTATATTTTTATTCTTTTATAGGAAATATAATTTCATCTATTTGTCCTAAATCAAATTTATCCAACTATTAAAATCTAAATTTTAACATAAATTTACAATACAAAATTGGCATTGCTAGGTTTATTATGTATGCTATTTTTTTACATACCCCTATGTCTCAAAATAAATAAGTTTGCTAGGTTCTTCTTTTATTTCCCGAAAGATATGTCCTGGATTTGGTATCATTTCATGCACCCGTGATTAGCTTCTGCATTCAGAGGTCGTCCCATGTTTTTTTGTAGAATGTTATTTTTTGGGACAAATTTAAACATTATAAAGTTATTTATTCTTATAGCGTAGGGGTATAACTATTTCGTTAAGACAATAGTTTTTTATAGAATTTGACAGTCTAAATTTTGACTTGGGACGAACAGAGATGAACTTATATTTATCAGTAGCTAGTAGATATTTTTCAGACGGTGTGAATTCACCAAAAAAGTAGATTATTCCAGCTGGTGGGAACACTTCGATGCGATTCTGATGTGATTAATCTCGATCGATAAGGCCAGGCTAAAAAAAGAGAGCCTTTTTCCCGGGATGCTTCCTCCGGCACCATCATCCTGGCTGGCTTGGACGTCGATGTGGGGCATCTCCACTGTTCGACCAGCCATGCAAAGAGCTAGGCTTCGACTTCGACCGCAGGCCTCTGAACCTGCGTGCGAGTCGTAGCTTTCAAGTAACAAGAACTCAAGTTCCCTTTGCATTGTACGAGTGATTGGAAGAGCAGCTCTTGGGCGGCTAGAGTGGAGAATCGGTTAAGCGAAGAAGAAGGTGTTTAGATTCGGTGACTAAAATTTAGGAGGTGTCACGTGAGGAAAATGTCGTATGGGTATTCGGATACTAATAAAAAAACAATTCACAGAACCCGTCATTACTCCACGAGACGAATTTATTAAGCATAATTAATCTGTTATTAGCACATGTTTACTGTAGTACTACATTATCAAATCATGGACTAATTAGGCTTAAAAGATTCGTCTCGCAAATTAGTCACTAACTGTGCAATTAGTTTCGTAATTAGTCTATATTTAATACTTCATGTATGTGTCAAACATCCAATGAAACAGCGACTAAAGCTTTGGAGGAGAAACCAAACACCCCTAAGCTATGCTTTGACATTAATTCCAATAAGCTATTAACTCAGGGAAGTGGATCGACTTGGTGGAGATCGGATTGTTTGCTGTTTGCTGTTGCTGTTGCTGGAGCCTACGGAGTACACCGAGTCACTGTAACCCTTGTTACGCGTGGAATGATGGTAGGCGCCTGTGTCTCCATCAGATGGCGCAGCCACCACGATGTTTCTTTCTTTTTCTTTCATTCGTTCAGATTTCAGAGGTAGCCATCACAAATTGAATAAAGCCTTCCGGGCCAAATCCGGATTCCCAGTATAACAGTAAAGCCTGATCGGGATGCCTGATGATGACAATGGCTCGTCATTTTCGGCAACATTGGCAGCCACTATTAATTCCCATCTACCAGCGTACCAGGTGAAGTATTACCAGGTACTGTAAACTCTCACAGTCACCATCCTACTTCAATTCGTTCACTGGCATGGAGCGGTCCTGAATCCTATCAGTGCATGAATAGTTAGTTGCACACCTTTCATTGCTCTACCTACCTACGTACGTGCCGCAGAACGGTTGTGCAGAGTTTTAGATTTCTGGATTGATAAGTCCGGCTAGTGATGGTGTGTTGTGAGAGAAAAATATTATATCATGATTGATAAGTCCTGGCTGAAACCAACATAGGCGAACAGGATAGGAGAAAAGGCAAGATCGAGTCAGCACTCTCAAGCAGGGCATGGCCGGTAGTCATCTGGTGCAGGAGCACGCCGATTATTGTTATCTTAAAGCAGACGCCATAGCTTGTCTGGCGCAGTCAGTCTATAGTGAACTGAACAGGTGTACAAAAGTCCAGATTGTTAGGCCCAGGTGAGACGACGCTCGAGGACAGGACAGGAGCGCGGCATGTCTGGTGATCATCTGGTGCAGGTGCATACGATTAAATGATTAATTTACCCCAAGCACACGTAATGTTTCAAGCTAAGCGACACAATCTGTATATGCGTAATGAACAGAGCAGATGTGATGATTAATTTACCCCAAGCACACGTAATGTTTCAAGCTAAGGCCATGTGTTACTGTAGCGTTTGTTTTTATTTGATAATAATTGTTCAATCGTTGACTAATTAGGCTCAAAACGTTCGTCTCGCAAAGTACAACCAAACTATGCAATTAGTTTTTGATTTCGTTAACATTTAGTACTCCATGCATGTACCGCAAATTTAATGTGACGTGGAAATCTTTTTTTTGCATAGTGTAAAATTCATGAAATCTGGGGAACTGTCAGGGCCTAAGCGACACAATCTGTATACGTAATGAACAGAGCAGATGTGCTGGTCTGGTACCTTGTTTCCAAACAAATTGAAAAACAGAACAGCTTTACCTGTACCTGTACGTACGTCCAGATTGTTAGGCTCAGGTGAGGCTTTAGCGGCCGCTGCCATCAAGGGACAGGGCAAGCAACAGCAGCCGAGTCGAAAAGCACTGTTCGGCTGGCCATCTTCAGCTGGCTGGCTGTTTTTTTTTTTCAGCCGGTGCAGTATTTTTCTCTCACGTAAAACCAGTATAAACAGTAAAAAACAGCATGAACAGTATAATTTTTAGTCCAGCCAAACCCTCTCCCCGAGATGGGTGACTCACGGTGGCACTGGCCGGCACGGGCAAGGTAAGCGTCCGCGTGCGTGCGGCAAGGCATCGCCGTCGCCGCACGAAAGCGCCCAGGAAAGCAGCGAGTCACGGCGGTTTGCTTCCACGGGCGGCGGCGGCGACGTACGCGTGCCGGCCACCTCCGATTTGATTACTGCGAATTTCCTTTGTAAGTGTCAGTGTCACTCCCCTGCTGATGAAAGCATCGCACAGATTTACACCGAGTGCGCATAGACTACCAGTGAAATCGTCTGACCTTTTTTTAGCAAGAAATCGTCTGACTTTTGCAGGTAATAACGAGCATAAATGATGAATGCATGAAGCATGCACGCACGCTGCTCTGTTTCAGACAAGAGGGAAGTGATTGAGTAATGCAGTCTACAGACTTCAGGAAGACGGACAGGTACGTAGGGTACACAGCATTAACTTTCTCGTTCTACGGAGTAACAAAGAAAAGAAAAGGCTGAGTTTGATATGATATGATATGATACGATCACGGTCACAGGATGTCATCAGGTCCAGTGTCTACCGTGTCCTTCAGAGGCTTCTCAGATTTCCAGAAATCTGTTTGCCTTGGCTTGCACGAGCGGCGACTAGCAAATCTAAAACGTCGCCTAAGGCCTTATGGTCATGGTCTCATGGATTGTAGCACTTTGAAAGTCAAGAAACGATGTGTGTTCGTCTGACCTGCTATATTATACAGTATACTTTGATGAAAATGGAGGAGATCGGGCTCTTTCTCAATATTTTTTTTTTTTTGACAACGTCTCAACATGGTTAGGTGAGGACTGAGGATCGACCAGACGGTGAAGTCTGCATGCATGCACACGCCACGTGACTGCAGTTTACCACTTGAAGTGTCCAAGGGGTAGTTCATTTGAGCGGCCAGCACTAGCTTGGGTCGGTCACTGGCTCTCAAGCTGTTGTCTCTCAGGCCAGCACTAGCATTTATAACAATTCAGGCACATGGTGGATCTTACCTGGCCCAATGATTAGGTACTCTTATGAGCCCGATGGGCCAAGTACCTGTTTGTACAGCTCTGCTTCAGTGGTGGAGCAGTTTTTTTCTACTTCACCTAGCGGAGCAGCCTTATTCGTGGACCTAAAACTGTTTTTAGACCTGGCAAAAAGGTGCTCCTGCTGATAGTAAAAAAAAAAAGGTAAAACGCCCACACTATCTTTATTTTTTTATTTTTTCCTTTTTTCTTTTCTTGCATGGCAAGATGATGTTCAAAGATAAGCATGGATAGAGTTTAAAAGCCAAACATTGTATGATTAAATTCAGCAATTCAGAACAGATCTCGAACCATGGATATCATCAAAATGTCATCTCAGCATTACTGTACCATCTTCCCACAAAAGCTATTATCGTAGTACATCAGTCCATTCTCAGCTGGTGAACAACTCATGCGTCAGTGCGTGAGGCCAAAAGGTAATCACTAAGTGAAGTAGTGATGACTCACACAAACAGTATATAACCTCGAGCAATTTTAGACTGACACAAAGTTTGCGGCCTCAGATACAGTATATAGCTAAGTAAAGATAGCTATCAAACTGCCAAAAGCCAGCACAGGATACAATTGTCAACGGTATAAATAGAGCACCTAAATGCAAGTCAAAAGGCGTCTCAATGTTTTGGTGAGTTTGAGCAACGTGCTTGCAAACAGAAATTATTCAATGACATGGCCATATCCATTCTCAACTATAGAACCAAAATTGGACATAGCCGGCCACTATTTAGTTGTCAGCCACTTCAATCAGGGTTTGCTCGTAGTCAGCAGGGGCCTGAACTCCATGGAGGTTCATCACAGTTGCGGCTACGTTGGCGAGCCCAGGAGTTTCAATGTCGCTCCGGAATTTCACTCCGGGGTGAAGACCAGGGCCTCCAATGGCAACCGGGACCTGCAAGTTTTACAGAGGCATTAACATCCAAAGCAATCAACATGGGTATGCTTTTACTGGGAGACAACCAAAGACATGGGGTCAAAAGGCATTGCACTCACCGGCTGAAGGGTATGCGAGGTTAGAATCTGGATACCGCCATTCTTGTCGAGCAACGGCTTGCCAGCTTTGTTCCTTTTCACCATATCCTCTGCATTGCCATGATCGGCAGTAACAAGGTAAATACCACCAACTTGCTCGACAGCATCCAAAATAATCTGTTCAGAAGAGCATTTGGTTAAAATAGGCAAAGGCCTATATAAAATCTGCTACTGTAAGCGAACTTTCAATGCAGATTATGAAGACAACACACAACATGTAAGCAAACTTTTATTGATGCTCTCACCTTAACAGCTTCATCAGCTGCCTTGCAAGCAACAACGGTGGCCTCAATATCACCAGTGTGACCAACCATGTCACCATTTGGCAGGTTGACACGTACCTGTAACAACAATATGCTAAGCAACAGGGAAACCAAAAGACTCATCTAATAGAAATTTCAGAACTATTTACCTGGTCAAACTTTCCACTTAGGAGAGCGTCCCTGGCTTTCTCAGCAATTTCAAGCGCCTTCATCTTGGGTGCAACATTGAATGTAATACCACTGTCACTAGGAACTTCTACATACTCTTCCTTAGTTTCATCAAAGTATCCTGAACGGTTCCCGTTCCAGAAAAATGTGACATGGCCGAATTTCACCGTCTCACTGTCACACACAAACCAATGTTGCCACATAAATAAAAAGAAAAAAGAAAAGGCAAAATGTAGAACATGCCGTTGCAAGGACAAGGATGATACAGCAATGAGTCAATCCAAAAATAACATTATGCAGGCCATACAGTATTAGCACACAAATCATGCATAGAACAATGCAACCAAATATCAGCCAAAGTTAGCACAATGTCAGCATACTGAGCCTCCTCTGCAGCTAGAAGATTATTAAAAAAGGGCGTACCCAGTGCAAAGAGCTCCCGCTCTGTGCGGGGTCTAGGGAAGGGTGTCAGTGGCAAGCCTTACCCTCGCCTGTGTAATGCGAGGAGACTGCGACTTGAACCCGGGACCTTCTGGTCACAGGCGGTAAGACTCTACTGCTTGCACCAGGCCCGCCCTTCTAAAGCTAGAAGATTATTACCCTAGAAAAAAAAACGTTTCTACACATGTCAAATTACTAGTACGACTGTAGCATAAGGTAATGGAGATAACTCACAGCAACATCTTTCCAGAAGGCAAGTGCCCCTTACAGGTATGTACAAGATTGTACAAAGTACACTTGATAATGTTTATTCAAAATAAATGAACCATGCTGGCTTAGATGACTCAGAAAAAACTAAGTAGTTTATGATATTGAAGTAAACAAAAGAAGTATCACGAGAAAGGCTGAAACATTAGATAGTATAGTACTTGCCTGCAAGCAAAAGTGCGGATGCCATTCTTCACCAAGTACTCCCCAGATGTTCTCTCTATCTCTGGTGGGGAAACAAGGTAACGGCTTGGAAGCTTCAACTCGCCATCATACTGAAGCATCCCAGCATATCGAATTTTGGGGACACGAACACGGTCGAATTTGTCAAAATCTGCATACTCTAGTGCTTTCGCAAGCATAACCATGCGATCGGCCCGGAAGTTGATAGTGACAACTGCATCACCATCTAATACAGGCCCAACAGCATTGCCACTGTCATCAACAATCACAAATGGGGGCAAGTACTGATCATTAGCATTGGGCAGTGCTCTCAGTGTTTTCACAGCCTCAAGTGCACTTTTGAATTTGTAGGGTGCTTCTCCAAGCACCTGGGCATCCCAGCCACGTTTAACCACATCCCAGTCATTCTGGAAGGTATTAAACAAAACAAAACTGTAAGCCAAGGTGTTAGACAATGAACACTGATGCTTGAATACGACAAAAAACATTCACCTCATAACGGTCCATGGTAACATACATCCTTCCACCACCAGATGCAATTTGTGCATCAATACCCTTCCCTCGAAGCTCCGAAAGATCATTCTCTAGGGTCTCCACGAAACCAACACTGCTGCCATCCAAAACATCACGCCCATCGGTAAGGATGTGCACACGGATTTTTTTTGCTCCCCTCTCACTGGCACCTTTCAGAAGTAACTGGATAGAGCAAAAAAAAAAGTAAATCTTGTGGTAAACTTGTAACTTAAGTAAGATAAATTGAAGAAAGATTATTAGCAAACCTGCAGTTGGTCAAGACGAGAGTGGACACCACCATCACTCAACAACCCAATAAGGTGAAGAGTACCACTTTCAAAAGATTCTTTGATGTAGTTGAATCCATCTCCATTATAAATCTTTCCAGAGGCAAGAGCGCTATCAACAAGCTTAGCACTATAGGCAGAAAGAATGCAGCACTCAGATCAGAGAACATCTATGAACTCTTAAGGACTAAAGGTTCTATTTAAGACTAAAATGACAGACAAAATAGCACACTAAGATCAAGTTCTTGATTGCATATGAATTCAAATGTTGAGCCAAAAAGTACACTGCAGTAGTGAGAAACAAATCAATGAAACTAGTAACTGATGACAATAAGAATACAGAGTTACAGGCTCTATTCTCGTCATGAAGCAAATAGTTAGTACTGTCCCAAGATTCAAAGATTTTGAATCTTATATGGACAAAATTATTTGTTAGCAACTAAATGCCTATCTCACGTGGAGGTCTGGCATGTATAGAAAAAACATAGTTGTGGGCATCATGTTCAAGTGCAATATTGAAGCCACAGCGCATTAGTTACAACCAAAAAACAAACATTTCCAAAAATAAATAAATATCTAACATACCCTTGGGCAAAAATCCGACCAGCACCAAGTGCATTGTGACCAACTTCGCTGTTGCCCATGTCATCATCAGATGGGAGACCCACAGCTGTTCCATGTGCCTTCACTAGTGTCCATTTCTCAGGAGCACCCTAATATACATATTTCACAAAAGGGTGAGTAAAAGCATGAAGACAGTATACCTGCAAATCAAATTATGCTGACAGAACAATCTTTCATCCAAGAGAAAGAAGCAGAGGTTATGTGCAACACCATGTTATTTTTCATTAACACCAAGTATGAGACAATGGTCAAACAAGCAATTGAATGGATACACTTTCAAAGAATTAGAAACCTCAGGGCATAACCATTTTAAGACAGTCCTACTACATGAAAGAGAAAAACTCAGCATTCACTGCTTCACCCAGTGCCCCGTATGCATAACAGATTAACAGTGAGTACAGGAAAAAGCATTTAACCTTAATCTGTAGAACTTAACCTTAATCAAGATTACATAAATAAAAAATCTAAAAGCCACTACCTACCGGTATTAATTCAAATCAGATCCGTCATCAGTGAACTGGAGCTAAGAATTAGGCTCCCGATAAGAATGTGACCAGTCATACTTAGCAACAATCAGAACCAAGGTATCTAATACACACACAAAAAAAAGAGCATCTACGCAATCCCACAATGACTTTGCGATACAGGGTAAAACAGAAGGGCAGGTGTAAAGGAAAGCATACACACATTCTTTAGCGAGTCCATGACAGGAGTCTGAGCGACATGGATGCAGTTGTACTGGTCGGGGTTGGCCTCGCCCCATCCGTCCAGCACGACGACAGCCACCGGCTTCCCCTTGGGGAGCTTAGGGTGGTCCGGCAGCGTCCACGAGAACCCAGAGCTCGCCATAGCCAACGAGACCTACCAAAAATAACACACAGCAGTCAGCAACATGTTAGACGAGCAGCAAATCCGCAGCATAACCAAACAGATCTGCACCTGGCTTCAGAATCCGCCACACGGCGTTGCTATAATCAATTAGATCTGAACACGTAATGAAAAATACCCTATTCAGTTAATTCGCATGGCGGATTGAGACTGGACGATCAGCACAGTCGTTTAAAATCAGGTTTAGATCAGATCTCTTGTTACAAATACGAGAAGAGAAGCAAATCAGACGCGAAGGATGATGGTAGTCGATCTGACGCATCGAGAAATCGAAAGACATGCGAATGAGGGGGGGATCTGAGACTGTCCTTACCTTTTTGCTTCTGCTTTTGCCTTGCCTAACAAGAAGAACTCTTGGCGAGCAATGGGGCGATGGAACAAAGGGAGGTGAGACGCCGCGGCGGTATTAATAAGGACAGGCGACGGCGTGCGAATAAAAAATATATAATTGCTATATTTAAGGATGGTGTTGCGACTTAAACTCACGCGATTTAACAAGTGGACGGCAGGATCGGTGCTCCGCGGGAACAAATGGAGTCATCGGACGGCCGAGGAGCGTAGAAAAGGTGAGATATTTTATTTTATTTTATAGTATTATATATTATTTTATATGGAAGGAAAAGATGGGCTTTGGTTCGAATGAGGAATGGCTCCGCCGGGTTTATGTATCCAGACGGCGGAGATCCGCCAGTTTTATATTCTGCACCTGGTATTGGACGGTAGCGATGGTGGGCGGCTATTGCCCGGCCCATGTGGGGCCCACTGGTTATCAGCGCCGTGCAACGGAACAAGCCGAACACGTCGATAGTCCACCTCACGGCACATGTGGGGCCAGTACACAGTAGCGTTGTGTACCAGCCGAACACGTCGATAGTCCACCTCACGGCGGCCCACCACGGATTTTAGACTTCAACGTGAGCTTTGGACTTTTCGACGGGGCGCGTGCGTGAAAGCGTGAACCCAGCCACGAGAAAATTGGACTTTTCGAAGGGGCCGTTCGTGAAAGCGTCAGAGCCAGCTGAGAGAAATTTGGACTTTTGGAAGGGGCCGTGCGTGAAAGCGTCAGACCCACCCGAGAGAAATTTGGAATTTTGCCCAAAGTGGGTTTCGCTGAAATGCTATTAAATTATGGGGTTTGTCAGAATGCCTCTATAAAATGAGTATATCACGCTATTGTGTCATTTCTGATTTTAGATAACTTTGACAAAGTGGGTTTCGCTGAAATGCTATTAAATTATGGGGTTTGCCAGAATGCCTCTATAAAATGAGTATATCACGCTATTGTGTCATTTCACAATTGTTTAGCCTAAAATTTTCAGCCCAACTTTGAAAACGGTCATAGCAGGTGAAAAGTTGGCTGAAAATTTTTAAAAAGTTATCAAAAATCGTGAAATAGCAAAATAACATGAAGCACCCGTTTCATATAGGCATTCTGGCGAAGCACACAACTTTCATGACATTTCAGTGAAACCCACTTGCCATAATGACAAAATTTCAATTATCTCCCTAGCCATCGATGGCGGACTAAGGGTTGGATATGTGTACAGATAGTGCATTCAAGCTGCAACATGTGGTGTTTAGAGCATCTCTAGCTCTCTGAAACAAGTTTTCTCCATAAACTCTGCTCCATAAACTTTATCATGGAGCAGTTTCACAAAAACAACTTGGAGTTTGTGGAGCATCCATTTATGTGCTCTCACAATTCCACCTTTTTTCTGAAGCATAGTTGCGTGGAGCTAAACCAGTTTAGCTAAAGAACATAGAGTGGAGCAATCCTAAACACCCCTATGACAAATAGGGATGCCCAATACCACATTTTAAATTAATTATTGGATAAAGATATTTTTTACAGACCACCAATAACCTCTCCTAGTATATGAGACTCACTTGTCACATACCAATTTATTTATATTCTTTTTTCCTATTTCTTCTCTCCTTTTTGGCTCTTCTTTCTCATGGTCTCCTGATGCTCCTATCCGCCACCACCAGCGCGATCCGGATGTCGACGTTCGATCCACCCCACTCGGCAAGGCGTGCGGGAAGGGAGGTGGCCTCATTCTCGGCCATGGCGCATGAGGTGGCCACGAGGACTCGATGGTCTCATTTAGCTCGTGTGCGCAGTGCGGCAAGTTTAACATCGGCGAGGCGCACGGGGAGGGAGACGAACTCATCCACAATCGTGGGCGTCCTTTCGGCGACACGCTCGATGCCATCCTTGGAGATGGATGCGGTCGCGTACTCTGTAGTGGCGTTGACCCTGACCCTGCAACTGTAGATCAAGCATCATTGGCTAAAGGCATGTTTAGTCCGCAAAAATTTTTAGGTTTGGCTACTGTAGCAGTTTGTTTGTATTTAGCAATTAATGTTTAATTATGGACTAATTATGTTTGAAAGTTTCGTCTCGTGATTTCTCATCCAACTATGTAATTAGTTTTTTTTCGTCTATATTTAATGCTCCATGTATGTGTCTAAAAATTCAATGTGATGAGCAAAAACCAAATTTTCTTAAACTAAACGCGCCCTAAATAGCGTCATGTACTTGGGTCGTACTGCTGCAACCATGCTTGTGTCGTCACTGGGCCATGGCTGCGCCATCGACATCCCCTGCACGCAGGTACGTCACCACATGCTGCTGTTGTTATGCTTAAGTCGTCACCTCTCCTTACTAACATCGCACTCAACACCACCGAGATGCCGACCACAAACTCCACGCTTTTGCCGAGGAATGCACGTACAGCATTAGGGGTGATGCTAGTGCTGAGGAACTTAACCTCCGGCAGTGCTCGATGACAATGGAGGTGGAGAGGAGCGAGGGGGAGGAGGGGCCAGGAGGATGACAGTTAGGTGGACCTAACTTATTGGGGGGAGATACAAGTTCCCTCTTAATTTAAGGGAAGACGAGAAAGATTTTGCTGACAAAAAAAAAAAGAGTTATTAGGGGACGGCTAGACTAGAAAAACATTCATATCCACAATGTGATAGCTTCACGAGACAAGTGGTAATATTGAAAAACTGCTGGAGATGCTTTGTATAGGTGTGAGTGTAGAGTACGTCCATTGTTATGCTAAGGCCTAATAGTATCTTCATTAGATATCTTATCTAATTTTCTATACTTTAAAATATTATTATTTTAAAAGATGTAAGAGTATTTTATTGGATATCTTATCTCTAATTTTCTATACTTTAAAAGTAGTATTTTAGAAGATGGAAGTGATACAGCAAAAGTCTTGTCTTACCTTTTGCGTATCTATAAGGATTTGTCTAGGTGACATTTAGTTGTTTTGGTTTCTCCTGTTAACTGAATTTTTTCCATACATTTACACCATCTTCTAGCTATATTTATACAGTATTATTAATATATTTACAATGATTTCTTCAGTGTAATCTATTGGACATAGTGATGTAAGTTCGGAATAACACAAATATATGTCAAATTTTTCAAAAAAAAATTATTTCCATGGATTCCAGACATCAAAGAAATATATGTCAAATTATTCACAAGCTCTTCACAAATTTCAAAAAAATATAAAATCTTCACAAATTTTCGAAATGCCGTGCCACGCTGCCGCCACCGACGCCGACACCGGGGAAGGCGTAGCGTCCGACCTCTACCGGTATCTTCGCGAGATATGGTATCGCCACATCTCTTTATTGTTCTTGCGCTATGCGCGTCGGCATGAGATGAGTTTGTTGCTGCTATCATCATCATCGCCGACGCCGGTCGGGCGGGAGGCGAGACGCGCAGCGGGCCGTGCAAAATTTGCACACGTGCTGTGGCATCTGTGAGTCCACCCAGAGACGAGACAAAAACGTGATCGATCAGATCCAACGCTCGAAGGGTGGGGGCGGCGTGACGCAGGTGGTAGATTGGGCGGCAGCTCTCGGGCTGGAGTCAGATTCAACGCTGGAAAATTCGGTTGACAGTGGCAAATAAATCATACGGTTGACGTATAGCGTTTCCGATCTATATAAAGGAGACAACTTCTCTTCCATATTCCTATAGAAACATAGAAGAAGTTTTCAATAATTTGTGGTACTCTCTTAAATTGATTTAAGGGTGTTCTTCTAGATTAATTTATAGAAGACCTAATATTAGGAGATGCAATATAAGGGATATGGTGGAGATACTTAGGCTCTATTTGGTTCATCGTTAGCTATGAAAAAAATGTTATAAATCATTTATTGTGAAAAGAGTTATAAGCTCTTTAGATGAAACATACTCCATCTCCCTATCTCCCTCAAAAAGCTATGAAACAACTCTCAATTTCCACCCATCTGAAAAGGCAGGAAGCCGAAAGTTGAGAGCAGGGTTCAATGTACTTAAAAAATTATACGATGTGAAAGCAAATGCTTTTGGAAAAACAGTTTCAACCTTTACCTGTATATTAGGCTTGTTTTCTGTTTTTTAACAGCAAAAACATTTTTTGGAACCAAACCAAACACAACTTTAAGCATGGAACAGGAGAACACCTATGACTGTGAGCCGTGGAAATCAAGGAATTCTCTCGGTCATCTGGGTCTGGGTACAGGGTTCCAGATGAACTGTCCATACCATCATACGTATGTTTGAAAGACATGCTACGGTGGAAGGAAGTCTCCGGTCGGCAGAAAAATTTCCAGACGCTCGGCCGCCGACGGTCAATCTCGAGAGGCTAGCAGGAGTTCCGAACCGGGTCCCGGTGACCCCGGGGGCTGCGCAAACCAGCAACCGTCCAGGTGTCCGTAGTAGTTGGGCACTGCTCCTGCTCATCCCTGGTGTGACGCACACAGGATGACACGACGCCGTGCGCTGACGGGCCACCATCTCGTAAACGATCGTAAATTTTCAGCCAGAAACAACGTTTTTTTCTCACACCAAACTAGCCAGCAGTAAATAATCCACGATACGATACGGTCTCCCGAACAGGCTGCATGTTTTGGTGAATGGTGACTTAGGGTCGTGGTCGTTTATTCTCGAAGCT